AAATTTGATCAAAAACATGCCATTTTAAAAATCGAAATAGCTCTTCAGATAGTCCATCGACCCCCGATTTTTATATCATGGTTGGAGAAAGCATGAGTTGGAGATATGATTTCATACAACCCTGACTCGTACAAAGTGAAACAAAGTCAACATATTGACATCTAAACTCAACAAAATGTATTTTGTTGATGACGTCATTTTTGTCATTGTTTATTTGAGATTATCTCACTTATCGGTGATCGATCTTCTCCCAGATTTTGATATGTTGTAGCTGAGATAATTCTCTATCAAAAATATGCCATTCATTTTTCATTTCGATGACGTCATCATAGTTAAATATTCCATTAAAGGCGACAATGCATAATTTGTCATATTTGCGTGTTATGTCTATGGGAGGTCACTTTTTTCAAAACATGAATCTGCATGACAATGTGTTTTGACCAGTGTCTCGGTTGTTATTCAAAACAGTTTTCAACCAAATCTTAATATGTTGTAGCTGAGACTATATGCTATCTAAATATTTCCTCATTTTTTCAATCAGATGTCAGGATCATGCTCATACTCATCATCGTCATCATCATCATCAATATCATCATCATCATCATCAATGTCACCATCATCATCACCATCATGGTCTGAAGATGATAATCATCAACGTCATCATGATCATGATCATTATCATCATCATTAACATCGTTTCTATCATCATATAACATTATCATTATCATCATCATCACCTTTACTATCATGATCATCACCATATTCATCATGATCATCATTGTTTACATGTCTATATAACTTCTCCCATTCTCAAATCTATTATAAGACTTAGACAGACCACCTTATTCGTCTTCGTGACGAATTAAATTTCTAGTTCCTTTTTTTTTTCGTTCCGTTTTTACCATGTAAGGACACGTTCCTCCTTTTGTAGTTGCTTCCCCCCCCCCCCCATAGTGATATTATTGTTCTTGTAGATATATACTTTAGTATATTTGTTTATTTTTTTATTAAGCAAATTATATTTTGTGTGTGTTCATTTGTCTATTCTTATGAGTAGCCCATATACATGTATTGATTATTCGGATTGTATGTTTTTACCTTGGCCTGGACCCCTTTAAAAAACAGCTTATAGTTGACAAGGGCTATCCATCTCATGAGTGGAGAATAAATAAATAAATAAAGAAATAAAGAAAGGGAGGTTTCTTGGTCACGGACCGGTGCTTGGTCTTTGATTAGGGCTCCTACTCGGCTCCTATTCAGTAACTCAAACTACCAAGCTTCCTATCCTAAATGGTTTATCACAATAGCAACTTGTATATGCATTGTAATTAACAGTTCACTGCTTTAGTTTAGTAGGGACTTTTAGATTTGCGTGGACTGATACGTGTGACGTCCATTCAAGGCAGTGCATTAAAAGGACGTCGATCGTAGCATAGACCTATTGTCTTCGTGCGAATCTAAAAGTCCCTAATGTCAAGTCCAAAAGTTCTTTCAGTTCATCTTTATTTCTGTTTAAATATGGAATCTGGTCTGAAGAACTTGAAGTGGTAATGAACACCGAAGTCAACTCCTTGACCGTGTAATGTGGTCGAAGTCTTCGAAGTTCGGCCGGACCAGTGTACACTCGACACCTCGGGTATTGGAGTGCACAATTACGTCGACTTTACATCAAAGTACGCGTCATGTTACACCGTGGTTAACATCCTGGTTAGCATCGAAGTCTACGCCGTGGTTAACGCCAAGTGACCTTCAGGTGACCAATATTAGGGAGTTTTCGTTTTACACGACGAGAGCGTGGACTGCCGCGTGTTCCATTGTGTTAATGCAATGGACCGTGCCCGGCAGTGCCTTAAAAGGACGTCACATTACCTTAAAATGATGTCACACGTGGCGGTCCACGTTCTCGTCGTGTAAAACGAAAAGTCCCTATTAATTCGAACAAGTGTTCCTCCCGTATAAGGAATTTTAATCTATACCCAAGCTACTAAAATATTGCCTTCACCCGCTTAACAACAAAACTGTGCAAGAAACCTATTTGAATCACCATAATATAGGATTTCTTGGTCACTTTCGTAAGTTGGCCCCGAAGTTGGCCACACACATTCATTTTATGTTCATTCAATTTCGCCGATTCTGTCACAGCAGCTGTTCTTTTTTGTTCAAATTCGTTTTTTAGCATTTAAATTCCTAAAACGATAAATTAAAAACATTTCATTTTCATTCGAATTAAAACGTGTTTCTTTTTCGTAAAATGTTCAGTCAATTTAAAGCGAGACGAATCGCGATTACGTAATAGAGTCTTCCGTGAATTCAATTTCGTTTCTTTACATACAGTTTCACACGTTTTGCGAACAAATTAAACATGTAAATCTTACCCAGTATGATCATAATACCCCGCAAGCTTAGTTCCATGTTAAATCCATTTTAAATTGTATGGGTTGCGCTGGTAAGCAACAAACATTGTATTTGTCCTCCCTAGGGGTGTATACCCACTAAATCATCACTATTTAGCAACTGAACGATCATGTGTTAAATAGATATAACCTAACCACATCAATATAGAATTAGCATGAAACTAAGCAAGAGTGTCTTTTTTTATGAATATGCAATGATATAAGTACATGCAAAGTGTGTGTTTACAGACTACAGTTGTATTTATTGGAGTTGCGTACCATAATGGTGGTGGGGGGGGGGTATCAATACTCTATACATTGATTTATTTTGTATGTTTTGTTTTGTTTTTGATAATTTATTCGATGTTCGTAATCTCTTTGAAGCCAGTTATATTTGTGTAAATTATATTTAGTATGTATTGAACATGTTAAGAACAATCTATGAGTATCAGTTCAATCACGTGTTATCATAATCACATCAAAATCACTGCGCGCACATCTCAATAACTCATGTCATGTGGACATAAACTAAAGAATACACGTATACAACCTGAAATCTTGTTTTGGTTATATTTTAATGATCATAATTACATCATGCATGACATTATCATGTTCGTCTACGTAATATATATCACTTCCAAAAGATGACCGAGTACGATAAAGTCCGTGATGAGAACATCGGTAAGATTATGTCCAATCTTATATCTAGATGTGTTTAACCCTCTACATGTTGGCGAACAAGAATGACAATACATGTTATATAACTAATTTGTTAAATTTAGATGAGAAACATGTGCATATACCATGTATACCATAGGTTTGTAAAGGTAGGCGAATATGAATGAAAACTTTGTTATTAAGAATGACCCAAAGTGAAATTGAATAGTACGGACGTCCGATTTGCCACGGTTGACGAAAATGAATGCAAACTGGGCATTAGTGTAAGCGGTTGTGAAATTGAATGAAACAAGTGCTAAATCCATTGACCGAATAAGTAAATCAAATGAAAAAAGGTGTTATCTTGAATGATATTTACACACCGGCAGCTTTATTTCGCGAATTTGAATGAACTGTGTATCAAAACGAATGAAAAGCTTACGAAAGTGTCCGAGAAAGCCTATATTAAAAGAGATTAGCATTCGAAACTTGCAGGAAGTCTTATACGGTGCTGGACAAAAGGAAGGAAACACAGAAATAGGAATATGCAAATAAGCTAACTGGATTACGAATCTTTGGACAAAAGCAAAGACATGACTAGACAAATTATTTGGGTCAATGTTTGTAAAGAGAGTTCGAAATAAGAATGACTTGTAATAATTGTAATTTGTTCCGACCATTGATATAACAATTTGTAAATTTTGTAGGAGTTGCCATTGACAACAAACTCACATGGGAAAAACACATTGAATTAATTTCCAAGAAGATTCTCTGTTTAATATCCCAAACATAGTATGGGCTAAAATTTTCTTAATTCCTGTCAAGTCATGTTTATCTACACGGATCCGTTATTTTCAGTTCAAGATAATACATCGTATAGTTGGCGTTAATAAATATCTTAAATTATTAACTATTTCGCAGTCAGACTTATGTTCATTTTGTTATAGCTCTGTGGAATCTATACAAAATTTATTATGGGATTGCCCAATCATAAGGTTTATTGCGGATGTCCAACATTTCATTAGAGGATAAAGTTAATTTGAATAAAAAATTAATTTCTGACCACTTGCATATTCATAAAAAGACACTCTTGCTTAGTTCCATACTAATTCTATATTAATGTGGCTAGGCTATATCTACCTAACACATGATCGTTCAGTTACTAAATAGTGATGATTTAGTGGGTAAACACCCCTAGTGAGGACAAATAACATGTTTGTTGCTTAACAACCCATAAAATGGATTGAAATGGATTTAGCATGGAACTAAGCTTGCGGGGTTCTATATATGATCATACTAGGTAAGATTTACATGTTTAATTTGTGTGCAAAACGTGTGAAATTGTATGCAAAGGAACGGATTTGAATTCACGGAAGACGCTATTACGTAATAGCGAATCGTCTCGCTTTAAATTGAATGAAAATTTTACGAAAAAGAAACACGTTTTAATTCGAATGAAAATAAAATGTTTTTGAATGATCGTTTAATGAATTTAAATGCTAAAAAACTAATTTGAACGAAAAATAACAGCTGCGGTGACATAACTGGCAAAATTGAATGAACATAAAATGATTTCTGTGTGGCCAACTTACGAAATTGACCGAGAAATCCTATATTTGTAACAGATAAATTACATATTTTTATCAAGGCACTTCTCACAAATAATGTGATCAGCATAAACTGATCAGCACATTTTTGGGAGAAGCAAGAGTTCGAATCAGGTCAACAAACTTTGGGGTCAGAAGTATCAAAACATGCGCGTAAAGATCCGACTCATGTGGTGTGCATGTGAACATTTTCTAGTGTGGAAATAATTTGGCAAAGTTATGCGTGCAAATGAGCGCGCTTTGAATAGCCATTCTCGCTTCATTTTCCGTTCAAGGCAGTCGATTGTTTTAGAGCTGCAAAAAAATAAAATAAAATTTAAAAAAAATTAAAAAAAATAGCGAAATGGGAAAGAGAAAGACCAATGCGTGCGCCAATGGCGGTGCTAATGCCCAGCAGAAAAGACAGAGAACAGCTGAAAAGAGTCGGAAGGGCACTAGAGCCAGCTCAATTAGCAAGAAAACTAACAATTCAGCGCAAACTCCGGCCAGCAGTTGCTCAGCCACAGGCATCAACGGACGGGCGAGGCGCCGTCGTCAGGCAAGCAGCACAGAGAGGGCACGGGCAGTGCAGTCTCGGCCGCTAACAGTAGACAGCGGAGTAGGCCTACCTGAAGCGATCCCGGCATTACCGGCAGCAGGCATCCCACCAGCAATTTCGAGCACCCCACCACCACCAGCAACAGCCCTGAATACCCAACCATCACAGCCGGGATCACAGTTGCAGTTACAGTCAACAGGTGAGGTACGGATAGATCTAGATCTTGATCTACCCACTAGCTAGTACTAATGCTACTTCAACCGAAGTTAGATCTATGGCTAATTGCACAGCAATTAGTGCTGGGGTCGGTACGACAAGCCCCAGGCCACACAGAGGGGCAGACAATAGTCACATAACAGGGGCGAACCCACTTTTAACTTCGTTCCCTACAATCGTGCCCCATGTTGACTTGGAGTCGGGGAATCAAGGGCATGTCTCAAGAGGCATTCAATATAGATCTAGGCCAATCGGAAGTCAGTATGATAATAACAGCAGACCTAGCTACACAGGTATCGGTAATTCATCGGTACCACATACCGAGCATAGGTCCGGGTTCGCAGTAAATGACTCCCCGCCCCAATCCCCACTACGGCCAGTTGGAGATAGACTAGGCTCGGCCATTCCCAATAACATAGGGGAGAAAATATGGAAAGGCGAGTATGTGGATTTTAATGTGTTAGTGAATGCCCAAGAGGTGACAGCACACACACAGTGGGAAGCTAGAGGCGAACAAAGGACGCATTTGGCAATGACTCAGGAAGAAGGGAGATTGGTATTGAAACCTGTCAGCGCGACATCCAAGAATAAGATTGCAACCATAGAGTTGTGGACTAATGCATTTCTTGTGTATGCTAGCATTGTTTTGGAAGCAAATTTGAATTGCGCACAAGACTTACTGAAATACTGCCACCTTATTCGATCTGCTGCTTCGCGCTATTATGGGTATGGGTGGAGAGATTATGATATCGAATTTCGTCACCGCTACCACAAGAAGGGTGGATCTTGGGCAGGTATAGATGGAGAATTGTGGCTCCTTCATGTAGTGGGAGGGGGACCTCCTCGGGGAGTTCGTGGCCAAGACCGTCCACTCGGGCGATCGGCCCCATGGTCCAACAGGAGGGAATGGAAGCGAACATATAACCCTAGCACTAGCCAAACACAGGGCAAGGGTAGGCTTGTGCCCCCAGGTCACCCAATTTTCGCAGTGGAATCTGTCACGAATTCAACTTCAGGTCAGGGGCTTGTAGCCGGAAAGATTGTAGGTACGCGCACAAGTGTTCCCTGTGTGGAGCAAGTGGCCACGGCAAGGTTTTCTGCCCAAACAATCAATCCAACTCAAAAGCCCCCAAACCCAAAGCTCAGTAAGGAAAAGGCAATTCCTGGGAGACAGATAGAACACACAAAAAATAGAAATCAGGACAGGCTTGAAGGTGACATACACAGTAACAGTAGAGATGTACAGATTACAGGACAGGTTATATCCTTGGGGAAGTCACCCATTAAAATAAAGAGCCTACAACAATTGTTAAAAAGCTACCCAAATGAGCGAGCAGCCAGGTTTTTGGAAAGTGGTTTCACAGAAGGATTTTGTTTGAATTATACAGGCCCTCGCATGCCAGTAGACTTACCCAACCTAAAATCAGCAGAAAATAACAAGGACATTACACAAGAGAAGATACGGAAGGAGATTAAGCTAGGGCGATACATAGGTCCCTTTGAGTCCAGGCCACTAAAAAAATTGAGAACTAACCCAATTGGCCTGGTGCCAAAGAAATCCCCGGGGGATTATCGATTAATCAATCATTTATCATACCCGCCTGGATACTCTGTGAATGATTTTATTGCAGATGAGCATTGTAAAGTGGAATATACTAGATTTGATACAGCGGTTGAGATGGTCGCCGAGGCTGGAATGGGAGCTGACTTGGCTAAGGAGGATATTAAGTCCGCCTTTCGATTGTTGCCTATGCACCCGAAAGATTTTGAGTTGTTAGGGGTCAAATTTGAGGGGAAATATTATCTCGACAAATACTTGCCCATGGGGGTCAGATGTGCTCCAGCGTATTTCGAGACCTTTTCCACATTCATAGAATATTGTGTTCGGGAGCAAAGTGGCTCAAACGGGATTATACACTATGTTGATGACTTCTTGTGTGTTAGTTCAATAGAGCACGGGGGCGTGTCATGCCTCGAGATGGTACAAGTTCTCAAAGGAATCTGTGAGGAGTTAGGGGTTCCATTAGCGGCAGAGAAATCCGAGGGGCCTACCAAAAGATTGACATTTCTCGGGTTAGAACTTGACTCTGTGTTAATGCAGGTTCGAGTTCCACATGATAAGCTTACTGAGGTTAGGCGCAAGATTAAGAAGATGTTGTCACACAAATATGTAACAGTTAAGGAGATCCAATCAGTCATTGGGTCACTGAACTTTATTAGTCGGGCTGTGCGACCAGGAAGGGCATTCTTACGCCGGTTGACCTAATAAAGGGAGAGAAGACTAGTTCTAAGCCACTGTCCATTTCCGAGGGTGCTCAGCTAGACTTGAGAGCATGGCTGGAGTTCATAGAGTATTATAATGGCGTAACAGTAATTACACAGGAAAGGTGGGTAAATAGTAGAGAAATGAGCCTCTACACAGATGGAAGTGGAGAAATAGGCTTTGGCGGCTACTTCGGAGGCAAATGGTTCAATGGGAAATGGTCTTCACGGGAAATAATCACTGGTACTTCCATAGCATGGAAAGAGATGGTACCTATTGTACTTGCAGTGTCAATATGGGGAGATGAGCTAAAGAACAAGAAAGTTGTCGTGTACACAGACAACATGTCAGTGATGTATGCAATAAACAAACAGACATCATCGTGTACAAAAATCATGGCTTTGGTGAGATCGTTCGTCTTGGTGTGTCTGAGGCAAAATATCTTGTTTAAGGCAGTTCATGTACACACATATGATAATGGTATTGCGGACTCCCTTTCCCGATTCCAGATGTACCGATTTCGCAAGCTGGCGCCGGTGGCGGAAGAAAGGGCCTCACCAATACCGCCTGGAATATTACAGACCTAGCAAAAGAAACACAGAGGCTGCTGGGACAATCTCTAGGGGAAGGATCTCAGCGCGTGTATCAGAGGGCAGTGGATTCTTTTCAGGAATTTCGGTTGAATCACCAGTTGAATCCTTCTTGGCCGGCATCAGTGAAACAGGTCATGGCATTTATTGCCCAACTTTCTATCAGTGGGAAAGCACCCACGACAATCACAGTGCATGTTGCAGCCCTAGCATATTTACATAACATGCATGGTTGGGCTGATCCCACAAAACATTTTTTGATTAGGAAAATGCAAGAAGGTAGTAGAAGAGACAAATGTTGTGTAGATACTAGAAGACCCATCACATGGGAGCTAATGCGACAACTGTTGCCAAACCTAGCATATGTATGTTTTTCACGATACGAAGCAATCATGTTCAAGGCAGCGTACTTACTAGCATTCTTTGGTTTCCTGAGAATAGGGGAGTTCACCGTCCGAGGGAAGGGTGATGATACAAGGAAGGCGTTGAATATCACAGATGTACAATTAGGCCGAGGCATTCCTGAAACTTTACTGTTACAAATCCGATTTTCTAAGACAGACCAATATGGGAAATCTACCACCTTGAGGATTAATGCAAACCGGGTAGAGGGGGTATGCCCAGTACAGGCCATGAAATCATATTTACAAGCAAGGCCACAGGTAGAGGGTCTACTATTCTGTCATGAGAATGGCTCCCCCCTTACAAGGTACCAGTTCAGTGCAGTCCTGAAAAAGAACATTCAGCAAATTGGGGCGAATGTTAGTCGGTATGGGACTCACTCTTTCCGAATTGGGGCAGCTACCACAGCTGCCTTGAATGGTGTGCCACCAGAACAAATTAGGAAGATGGGTAGGTGGCGCAGTGAAGTTTATTTGCGCTATATAAGATAAGTTACATTTACTCCATACTAAGTACTAGGGAGTTATTACAATTATGAAAATAAAGCTCACAAGAAAATTTTATATTTTGTTCTTCCCAAATATATGAACATGTTACTTTCGGGAGTTTAACTATTTTATTTCAGGACGAGTACGCAACCAAGTCTGGATAGTGGGGGACAGTATCGTAAGAAGGGCCAAAGAGCGAGCCACTGCACAGAACCGCCTGCACTTGGGAGCAGAGAAGGGTGCAGTACAGTGGCATGGTCAAGGAGGTGCTACTCTCCATGACCTCCCCCGAATGGTCACAAATAGGTTGAATTACAACGCACCACCTGCACTGGCGATCGTTCACCTGGGAACAAACGACTTGGGTCAGAGAGACGCATGCCGTTGCAGAATCGCAATCGATACAGCAATTCAAACTCTACGAGCAAGAATGCCAGGAACCCACATAGCCTGGTCTGGTATTCTTCCAAGATTGTTTTACTACGGTAGCAGACCCGGCCCAACATCACAAGAGGCAATGGATGGTGTGCGGAAGTCACTTAACAAATTCGCAAAGAGGAGAATCTCCCAGATGGTGAACACATCAATGATAGTGCACAATATAGATACCAAAGAGCACAGTCTGTTCCATAGGGATGGAATTCATCTCTCAGATGTGGGCTCTGACATGCTCATCGATAAATTCGAATCTGCAGCCAAGGACACTGGCCTTCTCTGAACAGATTCAGCCTAATGTCAATAGTATTCTATGAAAACCTAAAGTGAGCGACAAAAGTCAATTAGTTGAATTGAGTTATATTTGGGTTATTCCATGAGGTTGGGTTTGAAAATATAAGATGATATCCAGGTAACGGGAGGCATGAGAAATACTATTACACACTGAAAAGTACTTCAGTCGTGGAAGATTCTGATACATTGAATATATAACTCTGTACTGTCAAGTCATGCTTGTTTCAATAAGTAATCTATAAAAGATATATACTGTGACACAAATTTGTTTACCTCTGGGGATAAGGCAGTCAGTGCGCATGTAAAAGGGTGATGTATGATTCGTCAATGTAAATGTATTTTGGCTTTGTTTATATTATGAGGTTGAAATGTTTTGATTCTGAATCTGGAAAATCTGAAGTCACATGGCATTACATTATAATTGTCTAGTGATAAGGGAGCCTGAGTCTGCTGGCAAGGACTGGAGTCAGTAAGACTTGGTCGCACTAAATGTTTCAGGAACCAGTGGGCCATAGGGGAATTTTCCCGACTACGAAATGTAGCTAGCTCGACAGATCTTTAAGTCCGATCACAATAGCCGGTTTTGCCCCTATCTTTCCTCGCGCAGCAGGAGTAGCTCCAAACAGTTTAGAATGCAAATGCATTAACACCTCAACATGAAATGTATAGTTACCCAACTTTAATGCATGACACAAGTGTAGAAGTGAACGGCAATGAGCATAGTTCATATGATGACATCATAGGTGTATGGTTAAATAGGTCAGGATGAATACCTACAGCAACCGGGGGAGAAAGTAGGAGATCTCAAGAGATCTGTAAAGAAGCTGAATCTAGTTTTTTTTTTTTTTTTTAATAATAATAATAATAATAATAATAATAATTTAATTAATTAATCACAAAAAAAAAAAAAAAAAAAAAAAAAAGGTATTGGGTGTAGGTTTGAATTTTATGTAATTTAATTTGAACACGCGGGACTGCCAATATCTTTGGCCAAGCAGGCCGGGATACGCATCCGCGTTTAGGAGTGATGAGGGGGACAGGAACCCCAAGAAGAGGGGGATATCAGCGGGAGTTACTATCCTGCTGGTGGATCACGTTCAGAGCCCCATGAATTGGGGGGCTACCGGGAGGAGCTACTATCCTTTCTGGTGATCACGTGACCAGAGATCCTCAGGATTATTCTGAAAAATTAATTCTCACAGTTTGATATTGCAGATAGGATTATATTACATGTATTTTGGTTTTAAAGGTAAAGACCAGTAATGGTCATGCGATTGCATTGTGAAAGAAACGTTGTGGAATCGATCAGAAAAGGTCGATCATCTAGCATCTAGCATCTGCAAGGTTCTGGAATCATCAAAATGATAAGAAATTTGGCTCATTCTTCGTAAAGTTACAAGCACTATACACAGAAAGATGTATATGGGACTATCTCTCTCACCAGACCATGAGAGAAATAAATTTACCAAATATATGAATTAGTAGGCGGTTTCCCGGCAAATTTTTTATCATCATGTATTAGTCAAAACATATTCTTTCACATGATTGGTAATGAGAGCTTCCATTTCATTTTTTGAAATTGGGGCGTTGCCAATACTGGTCTTTACCTTTAAGTTTCGCAGAATTGTGTTCCTGAGTTTTCATGTTCGTACATAGCAATTTGCATCATGTATGTGTATTGGTATTACAGGCAGATATTGCCTATTTTAAATGTTAACGCCTTGAAGCGGAAATAAATGTCGAGCAATTGCAATTCATGTTCGTGCAGTTGCTTTCTTCACAAAATAATGTGATCAGCATAAACTGATCAGCACATTTTTGGGAGAAGCAAGAGTTCGAATCAGGTCAACAAACTTTGGGGTCAGAAGTATCAAAACATGCGCGTAAAGATCCGACTCATGTGGTGTGCATGTGAACATTTTCTAGTGTGGAAATAATTTGGCAAAGTTATGCGTGCAAATGAGCGCGCTTTTAATAGCCATTCTCGCTTCATTTTCCGTTCAAGGCAGTCGATTGTTTCCTCCCCCCCCCCCCCCCACCCATTCCCAAGTGACTATTTAGGGTTCACACGTTACGAGGTTGCGTAACAACGAATGAGGAATAGTTGGTGGGGGTTTGTTACTCAGACATGTTTGAAACAGTTAAAGACAATGATGTATTATGGTTGTTAAGGGACATGATCTATGCACACATTCTGCTCCAAGGCCAAAGATTGGGGAGCGAGGTAGTTGCAAATTCTTGTACATTAAGGTGGATTTAATTGGGCATGTCTGAAAATAGGAAATAGTCATAACCTTCTCCATAAGTTGGTACATAGTTCAAGCCTTAGTCCCGAGTCAAGAACCACAAAGGATTTAAGCTGGAGTTATGTTGGAGTGATATATATCAGGGCAGAGGTCACAGTGGTTATGTTGCCTGCACTGGCTATAGCCTGCCTTAAGGTTAGGTGGTTAGGAGAAAGGTATGGGGCAGGTACTTTGGCACAGGAATAGTATTAACATTACAAGGTGGCAAAGTTCAGATATGGAGATACTGGGCGTGGAGGTTATGCTGCATATTGTGTATTGTTTAGCTTTGATCATGCAGTTAGTTGGAGGGCCGGGCAGGAAGTGCCCAGGGTAGGATGTATGTGTATTTAGCACTATGTTAGTGTAAACACTTTGAGTAAGGTTCTGGTGGTCTTGAAGTCTTAAACTGAGTCTATTACATTTTATTAGTGACACCCTGTTAAGGTTGGGAGGTTGGGCTGCACGGGGAGTTAATCCTGTTCACAGGTCATTGTCACACATCGTTT